CGGTGGGGTACCCCGGAACAGCAATACAATCCATGGTACTTGATGGGCGGGTCGGCTCGCTCATTCATTCATTCATTCACTCACTCACTCACTCACTGGGCTCTGCTAATGGAGATGGCTAGAAGCTGCCCCAGGGAGCTCTGCTTTAGTGGGCAGAGCCTCACCTTCCTTGGCAGGAGGGAGGCTGCAGTTAGAATCTGGGAGCTTATGGGGCTGGGGACCACCTGCTTTACAGGCAGAGCTGTGCTATTTAAACGTAAAATGGAGACATTTTTTAAACTGACGCTCATGAGAATGAAAATTCTGGCCACTGGGTAGGAAATAGATAACTGTTCGTGTAGTACGTATTCGTGAAGATAGCTTAAATACGGAAAAAATTACGGATTTTATTCACAACCCCGTCATAGCTGATCTTCACAGCCAGATTAAGTATTTGGGGCAGATGGTGTTTCCTCGTTTTACTAGTGAAGTTAATCGACTTACCCAGGGTCTCACTTACCTGTAAGGGACAGAAGCTAGGATTTAGTTCAGGCACCTTGCACACCAGGGTGTTTGTGCATTTCCCTCGTCTTTTAATTATATATGAATCATTTATGACAAAAAAAAAGGGAGTTTCATGGGGTAAGGGAGGCTTTTTAAAAGACAGTCCACTCAGAGTGCCCTTGACTTAACAAGTGTTCTTCCCGGTCTCCTCTACTTGGGTAGTTTTAGCAGCTCTCACACTTTACCTTCACAGGTATGAGCCGCAATTCTGTAACTTGTCTTCAATTTCTCCTATTTCCAAACAGCCAAGTCCAGACACCTGTTTGGCCTCCACTTGAGTGTGCCTGGCGGGTGTAACAGGCTAGAGTCTCTTTAGCTGCACTCTGTTTTCCCACAAACCTGCAATATCAATCAAAGGCGTGAAATCACGTTGCCCAAGCACAAAACCTGGCTTGTCTCCTCATCTCTTACCCCTTGGAATCAGCTGGTCACCAAGCACTGCCAGACCAAGACCTCCAAATCCTTTGTTGACTCTTGTTCCTCCTTTTAGTAGCCTAGAAATTGTGGCACCCACCCCCCTTCCCTGCCACCATGGTTCTCTTCAGAGTTACTTTCAGGTTCTAGCAGTGTGTTTTATATTCTGCAGCTCAAATATGATTATGTCATTTGTCTGCTAAAAAAAAAATCTCAAGTTCTCTCTCTCTTTTCATTGTCTTCATAATATCCAAAGCCCTTGGTTTGGACTCCAAGTATTCTTCCTTCCTTCCTTCCTTCCTTCCTTCCTTCCTTCCTTCCTTTCTTTCTTTCTTTCTTTCTTTCTTTCTTTCTTTCTGTTTTTTCAAGACGGGGTTCTCTGTATAGCTTTGGAGGCTATCCTGGCATTTGCTCTGTAGATCAAGCTGGCCTCGAACTCACAGAGATCCGCCTGTCTCTGCCTCCCAAGTGCTGGGATTAAAGGCGTGTACCACCAACACCCAGCAACTCAAAGTATTTTCAAATCTTCCTGTTACCCCCATCTTTTATCTTTAAATTACTATTTCTCAAAGTCTGCTATGTTTATCACGTACAATTATGGAAGTAACTGTTAACTAAAAACACAGGGGGCTTTGGAGAGGTAATAGCCAAGCATATATATTTCCAGCAAATTTTGTGCATTCGAATAAGGTCTAATAAGGACCCTAAAGGTTGAGAGCCAGTGTTCTAGAAGCTATCCTGTATTTATGCTCTCTTGATGGTGCTTAGGGCATGTTAATCCCCATAGAAGTACATTGGCAGTTGAGGAAACAGTAGAAGCAGGAAACTGTTGATGTTCTAACCTGAATCGGGCTTCCGGTATAAGGCCCTCATGTTAGAAGTGCCTGTCTTATGCATGCAGGAAATGAGCACTTTTATTTCTTAAGGTGAGGGGATACTGAAGGACCTGAACAAATAAGACCTTGGTGATTATTGTCTTTAAGTCACAGCACCTTGTTCAGTCATGTTTCTGTACAACTTTCCACTCTTCATCAAATTTAACATACACTGGATTTTATTTCTGAAGGTGTTTTTTTTTTTTTTTTTTTCCTCGTTGTTTTGAGACAGGGTTTCTCTGTGTAGCTTTGGAGCCTATCCTGGCACTTGCTCTTGTAGACCAGGCTGGCCTCGAACTCACAGAGATCTGCCTGCCTCTGCCTCAAGAGTGCTGGGATTAAAGGCATGGGCCACCAACACCAGATTTGGTGTCTTCTTCTTAGAGAGTTGCTAATCCTGTTCATGGGGACAACACCCTTATAGCCCCATTATTTCTACATCCTAATAGCAGTCCAGTTGGAATTAGAACTGCCACTTACAAGTTTGGAAACACAAATGCTCAGGCCATGGCATATTCCTAACTCCTTCCCTTTGTGACTCCTCTGAATCTGTAGGGTTCTCTGGGTCCCTCAGGTCCAGCCCAGTTAGGCCCATGTCTTTACCCCTGAACATTTATCTGACTGTCCTGCGACCTGGCTCATGTGGTCATATTGCACTTGGGGATTTACTGATTCTGAGCATCTGAGAGTGAGGCTTCCCTCTTCCCTGCCCTAGCTCTTAACACAGGGCAGGTGCTGTCTATCAAAGACCTTGTGAATGAGTGTCTAGGGCCAGATGGAGAGAAGTCAATAATTCCATGGGCCTTTGGGTCTTCTGTACTAGTCTGAATGGCTTCTTCATTGATGTCTGCAATGTGGATGTTTCTTCCTAGGGGAGGGATTTTAACCAAGGGAAGTTAAAGGAAGAAATAATTTTTTCATCTGTTTAGATAATAATGTAAGTAAAAACTTAACATTGCATATATGTGCATATATGTTGTAATTTTAAGATGTCATTTACCAGCCTACAATTTAGAGGGAATTATGTAAAACTTTCGCTTTTGTGTATCGGTATTTTGATTGATAGTCCTATTTGAACATAATTGGTATAACACTGATTATAGATGTCTTTTATCCTGCTAATTTTACTTACATTGTATTTTGAGATTTTTTTCTTTTCTTTTTTTTGTGGGGGGAGCAGTTTTGAGACAGGGTTTCTCAGTGGCTTTGGAGGCTGTCCTGGAACTAGCTCTTGTAGACCAAGCTGGGGTTAAAGGCCATTGCCTTTAATCCCAGTACTCCGGAGGCAGAGGCAGAGGCAGGTGGATCTCTTGTGAGCCTGGTCTACAGACCGAGAGCCAGGATAGGCTCCAAAGCTACACAGAGAAACCGTGTTTCAATAAACCAAAAAAAAAAAAGAAAAAAATAAAAAAATAAAAAATATTCCTTACAGGAATAGGCAAGAATATCTTTCTTTTTGTATTTTGTTATCAGTGACTATGATAATATAAAATTTAATTTTATATAAAAATAATAATAGCTCTTTGTAATTTGCATGTCTTTGATTAGTGAGCATTTTTACTTAGCCATGTGCATTGGGTTTTTTTAATGCATGTTCTTTGCTAATTTTCATATTGAAGACCTGATAATGAGACTTAGACAGGAAAAGACGAGAAGAACCACAGCAGACGTGGCAAAGAGAAAAAGAGAAAAGGAAAAGGGGGTGGGTTGGGGGAAACCATAGAGGAATGAATAATAGCATGCTCCATGATTATCGTGGGTAAGTCTCTTTTCTTTCCCTGCCTATTAAATCTGTAGGAGAAGATGACTGCGTTCTTCAAAACACTCCGAAATCATTGGAAGAAAACTACAGCTGGGCTCTGTTTGCTGACGTGGGGAGGTCACTGGCTCTATGGGAAGCACTGGTAAGTAATGATAGTCCTACCCCATCCGCACCCTACCACAGAAAGATCCAAAGGGCCTGTGTTCAAGGTTTGTCCAGCTGTACATCTCCACTAAACATGGTTAAACAAAGTTATTCAAGTAAAAAGCAAAGGCAAATGCTTCTTGTAATCTGTCCTATAGAATTAACCCTATGAAACTGTATAGTTAATTATCAGTGTAACACACACATTAATGCATGTGGTTAATGAGGTTGGAAAGAAAGCAATTTCTATTCACTTTGTTATTGAAGAGATCAGGACCCATTCTGGACAGAGTAAAGTCCTCTCCCAAGTAAGGTGTAAATTGAAATAGTTTAACTCATGTATCTCCTTGGGATTATTGCCCAGTTTTTCTTACTACAGATACTGTTATCCCCTGGTTGCTGGGTACTTACTGCTTTCTCCATCCCCAGTGACCACCTTCATCTATTTCATTAGATGGGTTAATTTAAATGAGGTCACAGGTTAGGACCCTTTGTGTTTGAATAAGGGATTCAGTATAATCATGTGTTATATCAGCCTTCAGACATGGCAGGAGAAGTACCAGGTCTTCTGTTCAGGCTTTGTGTGGTAAGATTGACATAAACAATTTTCTTTGTATAAAAATCATAAAAACTAAATTTTATAAAACTTAAACCATAAAATTAAGACAACTATGTCTTTATAAGTGACCAAGTGCCAGCACAGAAATCCAGACGTATTCAGTATTGCTTTGTTGAACAGAGAAGCACTAGGAATTGTATTGGAAAAGCAATCCACACTTGATACTTTTATGAGTGTTCTCAGCTTACTACTGACAAAGAAAAAACTTGACACTGGAGGGTGTGGTGTGGTATTTTGCAGCAGAGTGGTTCCTTCTTTGCAAGTCTTCTCAGAGCTAAGCACCAAGTTTTGTTAGCTAGTGTCCACACAGCTTAGCATTTGAAAGGTAAGAAAAGAGTTAGCAGACCTTTCCTGTTTCTGACCTGGTGCTCAAGGAAGCCAGGATCCCTAAGGTACACTGATGCTGGCTCGTTGGGGGCTCCCCTGTCCCTACCAGGTGAGGATCTGAAGAGCTCACTGTGTCTTCAGAGGTGCTCTGGTACTCCTTGAAGTCTTAAGACTCTTTAAAGGCCCTTCAGTTCTCTGGCACAAAGAGGCCTCACTCTGAAGGAGGTCTGAAACAGCCTGACTGAAGGCCTCATGTGCTCCTTCTCCACCCTTGAAATCTGAGATCACAGCTACAGAAGCAGCTCCTGGGGTATCACTCTTCTCTTTCTCACACTTCTGTGCACTTTGATACCTCGTGGGCCTTTTTACTTTCAAACTGTAGTGAAAAGCATTCAGGAGTGGACATACAGTAGGTCAGTGTTGTTGAGTACATTCACGTTGTTGAGCAAAAGATTTCTTGGACTCCTCTGTTTTTAAAAAACTGAAACGATACCCACTGAACAATCCCTGTTTTCTTCTCTTCACTCCTTGCAGCCTCCAGCTGTTCATTTTCCCATGAGTTCAACTGATACAGACCTATAGTGTTTGTCCTTTTGTGACTGGCTTATTGCACTTGTAAACTGTCCTTTATGTTCATCCATTGTAAACCGTCCTTAATATTCATCCATTGCTTTATTTTTGGGGGAGGGCAGGGGGTTGCCTTATGTTTAAAGGCTGAACAATTACTATTCCTCTGCATGTGTCAGTCATACTTGACTTGTTTATCAATGGGGATTTGGGTTACTGTTACTTCCGCCTGGTGGCCACTGTGAATAATGTTGCAATGAACTTGGGAGAGCAAATGCCTCTTAGATTCTTTCACAGTTCTTTTAGAGACGTACCTAGAAGAAGGGCTGCTGGGTTATATGGTAGGAAGTGCTATTGTTAGTTTTTTTAAGGAACCTTCAAACTGTTTGGTAACAGCTTTTACAGTACTACCAGTAGTGCAAAATAGTTCCAGTTTCTCTACATCTGCATTAACTTATGTTTTGTTGCAATGAATGTGAGGTGTGCACATTTTTCACTTACCCTTTGCCTCCCCCGCCCCCTTCTTTTTCCTTCTTTGGAGAAAAGTCTGTTGAAGCTCTCTGCCCAGTTCTTACTTAGGCTTTGTTGTTGAGTTGTATGAATTCTTTATATAGTCCAGATACTAACCCCTTAGGTAGTGATTTGCAGTTTTTTTTTTTTTTTCATTGTAAATGTTGGCCTTGCAATTTGTTGTTGTGTCTTTGGGTGTCCAGAAGTTTTTAAAGTTGATGTCCCATTTGCCTGTGCTTTGGGTAGATTTGTGTGTCTGGCGAATGTGTGTTGGTCAGAAGTCAGTATTGGGTGTCTTCCTTAATTGCCCTCCAAATTATTTTTTGGGACAGTTATTCATCAACCCCAGAGCTCACTGATTGGGCCACAACAGTTGGTTTTGGTTATCTGTGCGTCTGCTTCTCAGAGCCAGATGTCACCCTGGTGTTTGACGTGAGCGCTAGGGTTCCATATTTAGGTCCTCATACTTTCAGGGCATGCACATTTCCAACTGAGTCAGCTCCTCAGCCCTTGCCTGAGCTCCTAGTACCACATCCAAGAAATGATTGCCAAATCCAATGGCATTAAGCTTTCCCCCAAGCCAGGCGATGGTGGTGCACAACTTTAATCCCAGCACTTGGGAGGCAGAGGCAGAGGCAGACGGATCTCTGAGTTTAAGACCAGCCTGGTCTACAAGAGCTAGTTCCAGGACAGCCTCCAAAGCCACAGAGAAACCCTGTCTCGAAACCCCCCTCCCCTCAAGAAAGCGCCCCACCCCCACCCCATGTTTGCATCTAGGAGCTTCATAGTTGTAGGTCATGTTAGGCCCACATGCTTAATTCTGTATATGGTGTAATACTAAGGGACAGTCTCACTGTTTTACATGTATGTATCCAGGCTGGCACCATTCATAGAAAAGTATTCTTTCTTTGCTGTGTTGTTTTGGGACTTTTGTTGAAGATATTTTGACCATATAAAATGAACTTTGTTTCTAGGTTTTCTATTGTGTTTCATTTATCTGTGTATATGTCTGTATGCCAGAACCATGTTTTGATTACTGTAGCCTTGCAAGAAGTTGTAAAATTACAAAGTGAGACACTTCCAACTTTGTTCTTTTTCTAGATTATTTTGGCCATTTAGGCTATTTGGGATTTCATATTGATTCTGAGGTGGCTTTTTCCTATTTCTGCAAAAAGTGCCATTGGGATTGTGACAGGGATTGGTGGATTGCTTTGTGTTGTGGCCATTTTAACAGTGTTGTCTTCAATAGATGAACACATGATGTCTTCCTGTCTGTTTTGTGGTTTTCAGTGAACACATCTCTCACCTGCCTAAATGTATTTCTAAGTATATATTCTTTTTGACCTTCCCATGTGACTGATTTCTTAGTTTCTTCTATGCATTGTTTAATCTCTGCATGGAAGTGCAGCTTGCTTTGTTAGTTCTTTTCCTGTCTGGCAGCTTTGCTGAAGCTGTTTTATGGTTTTAACACCTTCTCTGTGTTTGGGTTTAACCATTCTGGTCTTCTGTAAAAGACCATTTTCCTCTTTCCTTCCAGTTTAGATGCATTTTATTTTATTTCTTCCTCCTCCTTTTCCCTTCTTTTCTTTTTCCCCCAACCTTCCACTCCCTGCGATCTTGCTGTGCAGCCCAGGCTGGCTATGAATTTAGGGTCTTTCTGCCTCAGCCTCCCAAGTGCTGGGACTATAGGTCTGCGTCATCACCTAGCACTTGTAATTTATTTTCCTTCCATACTTGCTCTGACTCAGTTTCCCTTTGTCCTGTGCTGCCTGGCCTTGCAGTCCCACATGTCCTCCCTTACCTCAGCTAGACTCATTTCACCCCTTGTCCCTGCTCCAAACTCCCACTTCCTCTTCCCTCTGTCTGTCTCTGTCACTCCCCTTCTTGTCCTCTGTGACCCTTCCTTCAAACATGAGGAGAGAGTTCTCCGCCCTAGGCCCTCTTTTCATGTCCTGCCCTCCCCGGAATGATCTCATCTGCCCATGCTGTCTTCTGGTACAACTCTAGGTGTCCAGGCCCAGGGTTTTGTTTGTCTCTGTGAAGGTCTCTGCTGAGTTCCACACCTGAATATATGTTCAAGTGCTGTGTTGGCTTGAATGAGATGTCCCCATAATCCTGTGGCATTTGAACACTGGGTCCCCAGTTGGCGGTGCTATCTGGGAGGGATGGTCTTTCTAGAGGAGGGTTGTCAGTAGGGAAGACTCACACCATTTCAGGTTTGCTCTCTGCTCCCTTCTTGTGTGTGAGTCCTCAGCTTCCTTCTGCCACCAGGTCTTTGCTCTGTCTTCATGGATTAACTCTTCCTCTATAAATTGCATTGGCCTGGTGTTTTATCACAACAACAGAAAAGTAAAAGTAACCAATACAAGTACTTATCCTAGGATGCTTCATAGGTATCTCTGGCCCAGCATCCTACAAACAAAATCCCCTTTCCCAATCTGCTCCTCAGTCATTGCTATTATTCACTATCCATTTTCTTTCTCCTTTCTTCTTCGTTTGTTTGTTTGTTTATTTGTTTTTCTTTTTGTTTTTTGAGTCAGGATTTCTTTGTGGCTTTGGAGGCTGCCCTGGAACTAGCTTGTAGACCAGGCTGGCCTCGAACTCAGAGAGATCCACCTGCCTCTGCCTCCAGAGTGCTCAGATTAAAGGCGTGTGCCACCACGCCCAGCCCACTATCCATTTTCTTTCCCTAGATATTTGGACATCCTCTATTCTTGCTCATTCACATTTCTCATATCCTGAACATAGTTTCTAATGATTTTAGAGTTTCTAATGTGTTCTGTTTCTTTGTCCCCACCATCACCATCTTCATCTGCACTGTCTTCCTTTCTTGTGTTTGGCTTCCCAGATTTTTGGCTATTTCTGTTTTGCACACCATTGCCATGCTGTTGTCTTTGCAAGTGAAGATTGCTGTTGCTTCGACTCAAATCCCAAACTCTTGCCAGCTGTGCATGAGCTTGGCCTCACTGCATACA